TTTGTAAGAATTTCTTCAAAGACTAGGAACCGTTAAATGACAAGAACCGAACTGTTAAGAACGGTTCGGTTCCTTATCGGTTCTTTAAAATAATTTATAAGAACCGAACCGTTAGTAAAATTTTATATTTTCAAACGGTTCCACATATTTTGCCTAGGAACCGAACCGGTCCCAGGCCTAATAATAAGGGCATCCAAAAATGAAAAAATGGGACAATTACAAGGGGACGAAGGGAGTAAGTTTCTAAAGCCCACTCGATAAAGTAAATTTGCTTCTCTCCAATAATAAGCAAAACCGCTGCATTCATGAAGGCAAACTGATAAGTTGTCAAAAGATCAAAAGTCTGTTAGGATTCTCTCAATTCAACTAACACAGTTCAGGAAGATCAAATACAATAAAATGGAAATCAACAATTCACAATTCACTTTTATTCAATCAAGCAAAAACAGTACAATTGAGTTCCCAAGAAAAGAGAAACAGCCTTCTCAATTCTCTCAGTCCCAAGACTCAAGGTCTAACAGCCTGTCCAATCTGGACTGGACTTATTCTATTTATTAACTATTTCCCCTTCCCCAAGCTACTGCAGTAGTTATTAGTTATAACCAACTCTACTAATAACTAGCTATGCGGTTTCCTCCTAGAATAGACCCGGCCCCCAAATCTATTCTGATTAGTAAGTCCAGCCTGGCCCCTATCAAAGTCTAATTCATATGAGGAGCGAATTCAAAAATGTATTCACCATGAGAATAGGGGCTATAGTAAAGGGAGTCTAGCTAAAATATTAGAACATATGAAACTCCACAATTAATTGCAGGCTATACGCACAAAAATCACATTCCTTACACCATAGTTTCCAATGTTTAAGGTGCACCATTTTCCCTTCTGTTTGAACACTACAGAATGATGACTAATAGCACTTACAGTAATTCTTAAGTGATTCTTTTCAAACTTTTAGGCATTTTTTACATTTTCAACACAGTGCCTTTTATTCTACATTTTTCACTTCCTTTGTAGTTTGTAAACTCAAGTAATACGGTTTAGTTTATAAGCATGAATGTTGGTCTCAAGTTTAATGGACCCTTTATACTTTTGATTCTTTAAGCTAAAATGCACTCAAATTTTACATTAGCAAATATAGACCCCTATAATATATAAACAGACACTTAGGTAGTTTAAAAAGTGACGGACGACATGCTTATTGAATGATTGTGCACATTAGCAAGGATACATGGTTTATCGGTAGAGAATGACAACAATTGTTACGCCTCAATAATCCTGTAGGTGTATACTAAATAAAATTATTTTGGAGAAAATAAATCAAATACCTTGAACTTGGGTTAAGTGTGATTTCCCCACCCTCAACTTGTATGTGTGAATTAAATATCTCCCACTTTATTTATTTGTGTTTTTAGTACCCCATTATACAATTAACAGGACATATTCTGATCCAGCTGGCGATAGAAATTCCACGTTGGCAAAATTCTCCCTCTTGCGAAACACTCTGCCTCTCATATCACATTTACGTCTTCTCTTCTTACTCCCACTTCACCAGGTCTGGAGAAACCCTACCTTGCAGCCACGACCATGAATGAAGCAACGACGACAATCGGCTATATATAGCACAGGACCGCGTCAAATTTCACATACCGGAAGTTCGACATTTAGGAGTGGAGGATGTGGAGATTCAACTTCAAATATAAAGTGATGTTATCACAAGCTCCCTCCTAATCTCGAAACTACATCAAAGGAAGGAAAGAATCATGGTCGGAGATTTCACAGGTGTTCCAAGTGGAAGGTATGAGTTAAATTTTCATTTAGCAGTGAGTTAATTGTTCATATTTATTTTCATTTAGCTGTTGTATATGTTAAATTTTATAGGTCAATGATTGTCACTATTTTGAGTGGTTTGACAAAGAGGAATACTCCCCCGTGCTATAGGAGTTATCAATTATTTGAAAAGGAAGAATGATGAACTTATTGAGGAGGTGAAGGAAGAATGATGAACTTATTGAGGAGGTGAAACAATTACAGTTTGATAGTGGAATAAAATTCATGGCATCACGTGGAGAATTGGCAACTGGAGAAAGTTGGGATGAATGCTCAAGGTATATGCAAATGTCATGGCAAACCTAGTTGGTTGACTGAAGAGTATATTTTGGCGCAGTCAACTTCAAAAAATGATTTGAATGCCTTCCCGATCGCATTTTGAGCTGAAATTTGGTATGGATAAACTAGATTTGATGATGAACATACCCAAAAATTTCATCAAACAATTCCATCAGGAACCGTCCCAAACGTCAAAGTTCGGACGCCAGTTCTCGTCCCTCTAGCTGGACCTGAGCAGCTCTCATGAAGTTGTTACCCTGTTTTATAGATAAATTCATACACGTATAGTTAGGGGTGTGTACTAGGGGTGGGCAAACGGGCACTGGAACCGCGGGTTGGGCCGGGTAATATAGGTTCGGGGCGGGTTAGGGTCGGGTCCTAATGTTAGAAAATCCAAACGGTTTGGGTCGGGTCCTGAAAAACTTAGGAACCGAACGGGTCTTAAAATTTGAAAAAGCGGGTACCCGGACCGACTCGCGGTTCCAAAATATTAAATACTAATATAAAATAGTGGGCTAAAGGGTCAAATAGGCCCTTGAACTAGCTTAAAGTGTTCAATTAGCCCCTTTCATAGGAGGTTCTGCCCGACCGTCGCCAATTGGGCAAGTTCCCGGATGAATTTTTCGATGAAGTTTTTTGAGAATCTTATTCCTTAAGTCTAGTTTACCCATACCAAATTTCAGATACAAATTCAACCGGGAAGGCAGTCAAATGATTTTTTGAAGATAACTGCGCAGTTAAACAACGCAGTACACTTCGGAAAATCATTTGACTGCCTTCCCGATTTAATTTTTAACTGAAATTTGATATGAGTAAACTAGACTTAATGAAGAACATGCTCAAAAAGTTTCATAAAAAAATTCCACCGGGAACCTCCCCAATTGACGATGGTTGGGCTGAACCTCCTATTTAAGGGGCTAATTGAACATTTTAAGCTATTTCAAGGGCCTATTTGACCCTTTAGCCTTTATTTTAAATAAATCAATATATATATATATAAAAGAGGAACTTTTTAAGAGCATATAATGCGCCACATAAGACTGCCATGTCATCATATATAACAATTATTTAATTAGTTTATATACCTTTTATTTTATTATTACATTCTATTTTTATTACATGTTGAATTGTTGATACAGAAATCTACCTTATTTGGTAAATTTGGCAAATAAAAATCCATCTTATTTGGTAAATTTGACAACCTAAAAATTATGGGAACCTCAACTTGGATTTAGAAACATCAAACGTGCATCCTTTAAAAAAAACATCAAAGTTAATTAATGGAATCCAATATATTATTACGTATGGCCTATCCCATATTAAATACTATTCAAGCTTCTTTTTTACTCCATATATTGGTTTAGAACTTTAAACAACTTTTTTTGGAAAGGATTGGTTTAGAGAACGTATAAATGTCCAATTGAAAAAAGTGTTATGAAATTTTAAAAACTACATGTTGAAACATTTTTAATGTGACTAAATAATGAGTAAAATCATTCGAATTTCTCACTATAAAAATTAATAAAAAAATTATTATGCATACCATTCAGACAAAACTTAATCGATTGCAGCATAATCAGACAATTCGATCAATTTTATTGATATCAAACGGGCTCTATATTAAATTGAAGGGTTGTTTACTCCTTTTATATTAAGTACTGTCGGAATTAAGACATCTCTATAGGTTAAGATGTATACCGGGATAAAATTATATTTGCATATGAAATTGTTTATTGTGTATGTTGAATAAACAGTCTGAATCAAGTCAAATAATCAATTTAGTATTGTTCTTAGATTATAGTGTCAATGAAAAACTTCATTTATTAATTAATATTAATTGATTCCACAACCAATTTTTAAAAAAACGCATTTAAAATTAGCTAAATTACATACTGTCCGTGCATCGCACGGGCTTAAAAGCTAGTACTATATTATTGTTATATTAATATGTAAGTAATTTGAGAATTTGATAACTTACCATAAACTTTGCTAGCATAGTCGTATTTTTTTTACAAAAGGGAACTGAGGACTCGGACCGAACCGGCCCGTCTCAAACAGGGCGGGTAAGGTTCGGTTCCTATTTTGAAAATTGATATACCCGGACCGAACCTACCCGCTAAATGGAACCGGCGGTTCTTGAAAATTAATCGATTACATGAACCGACCCGGACCGTGCCCACCCCTAGTGTGCACCGGTCCAAAACCGGACCGGACCGGACCCGGTTTGGACCGGAACCGGAATCTCAATTTTATAAGGGCCAAAGACCGGACCGGATACTAACCGGTCCAGACCGACCCGGACCTGAATTTTCCGGTCCGGTCCGGTTTTAACCATAATTGACCCGGTTTTAAAAAAAAAATTATTTCATTTATCAACTTTGGGAAGTAATATCATATGCAAATTTGCTAAACAAAAGAGAAAATATAATAGACTAAACAAAAGCTACTCGTAAACTACATCCATGAATCCATGATTCTATGTAGACGATGCACAACGACACAAGGCAAATCTGCAGTCTAAATAAAAACTAACTGCATTCGTTTTTTTGCTGCCTACTAACGACATTCATTTATCACCTGCAAATTTGCGAAACAGAATATACTCTGTAAAAGATTAATTAGTAATTATTAATTAGTAATTGTCCCATATAAGACTAAAACAAGTTTGAATTAACTCATTAATTACCCAACTAGTCCTATTTGTGCATATGGATCATCTTTTAGTCCTATTTGAGGAATTAACTCATTAATTACCCAACTAGGAGTAAAACATTACAAGTGTGCAAGAATAGGAGTAAAACATAAAATCTGGACAGATTTGCCCTTAATGAAACATTTGATTTCTTTATTTTTCTTTATTAAAGCAAAACAATACGAAGTGATAGATCAGTACAGGACAACACAACCCTAGGCCACGATTACACCTCCTCTGTCACTACTCACTACACTTGACAACCTAATTTCTGATGTTTTCTGTGGTGACTTGCAGGACACCATATTGTATGTTTCTCGAGACTTGGATTCACACTCTTTGTTTATGGAGCTTACTCGTCTCTTTAGTGGTGGGAACCCTGATCTCCAGTTTTCTCCATATGCTCACGACCATGGCGGAATCAGGCTCAACTGAAGATCAAACTGAATTCTTCATCATAAACAGCCAGAAAATACCAAAACTCCCAGAAGGAGAACATGTTTGGTCCCTTTCAGAGAGTGCATTTTCAATGGGAAATGCATTGATCACCAACTTTGAATCGGGAACCACTGAGGAGCCAAATCCAGTCAAGTTCAAAAGGAGACCGGGAATAAGTTCTAATTGGCCACTGGAAAACTGCACCTGGTTTTCCTACTACTGGTGCACCTAAATATAAACCACTCAAGGACATCAGTGGTTTGCACACGCTTAAGGAGGATGAGGTGGCAGAAGTCATGAGGCATCTCGAAAAGCACCCGCCTGATCCAGTAGATATCAACTTTGAGGGAGTTATTCAACACCAAGTGCACCTGGGGTGGTGGGTGTACAAGATTCTGAAATCCGGATTTGTGAAATGGGTTAATGAAACAATGGAGTCCGGATTGCCTTATGATCTTGTAGTGGGAGATAAAGAATACATAGAAGTGAAGTCAACCAAATATGTGAGAAAGGATTGGTTCAACATATCCATTAGGGAGTGGCAATTTGCAGTTGAAAAGGGTGAACTATACAGCATTGCACATGTTGTGTTAGCACCTGATAATAGTGCAATTCAACAGTCACTATATATACAAAAACCTTGCCAGACTCATCCAGCTTGGTAAGCTGCAATTGGCCCTTACAATCCATTAATCTCTTTTTCTTGGATTTTCTTCCGATTGCCTGAGTTGTTTGGATCCTCAAGTGGTTCTCATCCAAAAATACCATCACTAAAGCATATGTTACAAAGGCGAAAGGGATATACGTACATCTATGATAGATTTTTTTATACAAAACACTGAAAAGTTCATCTGGACGTGCCTCATCGTATCAAGTTCAGGAACTGAGTGTATAATTTATTTCATAGTGACACTGATAGTTTTTTTTTTTTCATTTTCTTCATAGAAGGTTCTGTTCATTGGTATAATGTAATAAATAGAACATACCCCGTAGTATATTTTTAAACTTGTTTTTCTTATTTGTTACTCCGTCAAAGGCAGTTTTGTAGCACTGTGTAGTATGTATCAGTATTATGTCCAGATACTACGTATATCATAATTTTTATGTCCATTATCTACATCTACATCATTTATTATGTCGATATATGAAAATTTTACCTTTCTCAGTTTAGCACTCACTGTATATACACATACACACACACATATGTATATAATGCTATTGTATAATATTGTAAATAATCAATATATATATATATATATATATATATATATATATATATATATAAAAGAGGAACTTTTTAAGAGCATATAAAGCGCCACATAATCCTGCCATGTCATTATATATATTAATTATTTAGTTAATTTGTACCTTCTATTTTTATTAGCTAGATTCTATTTTTGATTGCATATTGATATGGAAACAAAAATCCGTAGAAAGTACTATATTAAACAGACTCTATTTTAGGCTAAGTTTATATATGACAGGTATTCTTAGCCAAAAATACAATACATTTTAATTTCTATAACAATTAAATGTTATGGTATATGTTTAGGCTTAGAATTATGTGTTAGAATTATACGTTTTAATTCCATTATAACAATTAAATGTTATCATATACGTTTATACGTTTAGGCTTACAATTTTAAAAAACAGGCTCTATATTTAGACTATTTTACTTAATATATACTCCGTATTAAATTTCTATGAATATCCATCTTCATAAGATTATATTAAACGTTTAAAATCGGGTTCGTAGCAATTGTATTTACTCGAGATGCTTATGTAGAAGATCAATTTAACTATTTTTCATATAACCTTTTTTTGGCTTCACAAATGGAATATATTTTACATATTTTTTCATGATTCCACTCATTTAGCTCATTCAGTCATAATTTAATCAATTTGAGTAAAATAAGTTAATTCAATTTATTTTAGTATTATCAAACAGGCTCTATATTAGACTAAGTTTATTTTTCTTTTAAATCACATTACATATGATCCGAAAGAAATCAAATTTCAAATTAGCTAAATTACATCTGCCCGTGCATCGCACAGGCTTGAAAGCTAGTTTAATAATATAAACGGGAAAAAAGTTGTTTGTACACATTATATGTACATATTTTTTGTACTCACCCCCTAGTTGCATGTGTACACAGGTGTGTGGGAACAAAATGTGTACAAATAATGTGTCAAAATGTGTACAAATAATGTGTATAAGTAGCACAATTCATTTCTTCAAAAAATAGTAGTATGGCTCATAAACAAGTATCTGAATTTGATGGCCAATGAATCCAATGATCCAACACCAATTACCAAGATACCCTAGGTAGGGTAGACACCATCCAGTTTTTGATTCAAAGGTTGAGTTCCCTCTAGGCCTCTAAACAGCACTAGATATTCAGGTATAGGCCAATGGGCCCGAATCCAGAGCCTCTACCTTGCTTTAGAGCAAGGTAGAGTGTCTTGCTTCCGGATAGCCGTCTGATCGGCATTTTAACGGCCGTAGATCTTGGAGTCCACACTTGCGCTGATCTCGATGCCATCCTCGCCGCCGCCCGACCCTCCAATGCGCAAGGCACCCTCCTAATCGGGCAGAGGATCCCAATCCAACGGGCCCAACTCCAATTTCAAACATGTCATTTAGCTTATATAAAAGGGAGTTTATCACAACTAGACTAAAAACTTAAAATAATATCACTTTTGTCACCCCTTAAATTTTATTTCAAGAATAGCCTCAATGAATCTTTCTTTTCGGCAATAGTCCTTAAGTACTCGGATGGCCTGAGCCGTACTAAATCGGTAAATCCAATTACGGGAATTAATGCTTCAGTGACTCAAGTAGTCAAGTTAGGTTGGAAAAATGGAATATAATCCACGTCATCAACCTTACAGTAAGCAAACATAAAGTCTCTAAGTTTATTCAATTGTAAATTACGTAAAGTAGAAAATAAAAAATTCAAAATATTGTATTTACAAAAAGGAAAAGTATATAGAGATTGAAATAATCTAAGATCATAAAAATTGTATACAAAAAAAATACACAGTAAAATAGAATGAAATAGTTTAAAAATATTTATAATATGTTTTTAAATAAAGTGTACTTCAAAAATGTGAAAATTCATTAAAAACTAAGACATATGATAATACTTATATAAAAATAATTTAAACTAAAATAAAAAAGAATATAATGTAAAAAAATTATAAAACACAAATAAAAAACCAAAAAAAAAGATAAAAATCAAAGACATAATATGTAAAAAAACAGATAAAAAATTGTTTTAACACTATTAAAAAATAACGAAAACCATTTACTGTATAAAGATTAGAGAGTAAACTTAAAAAACTGGAAAAAAATAATTTTGAATAAATATATAGATTTGAAATTTCAAAAAATCATATAAATTATATAAAATAAAACAGTTTTTTTTTTCAAAAACAGAAAATATATTATATTATAAAACGTGCAAATAGAAGAAATTGGAAATAAAAATATGGAAAATGAAAGTTAAATGTAAACAAATTAAACCAGCAATTTTGAAAAAGTAAAAAAAATATGACTTTCGTAATTAGATACTTATTAAAATGGTTTTAAAATTTAATAATTGTTATTATCATTTTGATGTAAGTTTTTGTTTCCTATTGTTTCTTTGTGTTTATTATTGTTGATAACTTCGAAATTCTTGTTTTTTATTGTTTCTTCCTGTTTCTTGTTGTAGACTTGTAGTTGCAAACTCAAAAATCCAAATTTATCATTTAGGTGATTATGTAAATCTGTGTGATTCTTCATTGCAAAGAAGCATATATCAAAGATTCGTAGAAACAAAAATAAACAACAAAAGTTAAAATGAACTATATAAACAACACTAAATTATACCTTCTACAAAAAGCAACACGTTGCAACAAAAAGCTACATGTTGCAACAAAAAGCAACAAGTGTGATGCAACAAAAAGAAACAAAAATAACATAAAAGAATCACAATCAATATATAACTCAATCAATTGTTTTGATTTATTACATATGTCTATTATACTATTTGGCATTGCTTCTTCACATTCTTCTTCCTTTTAAGCACCTTAATTCATGTTGAAACCATCATGTTTGTTTCTCTTGTTCTCATATCCTCATTCATCTTCTTACTCTATTTATCATCTTCATGTACTGCGCCTGCAATGAGAATGCTATCTATATAAACTAATTTGGAATCAAGAGACAATCTAATCGAACATTGGAGCATTTATTCGTAGAAACAAATCAACTTGCTCAATTTTTCATGAGTATGCTAAATGATTTGTTAATGACCAATATGAGGAGATCAAAGCAAGGTTATCTACTACCCAGGCAAAAATGAGCTGAAGCCTGATGAGTATAAAAATTCTATAAGGAATACTCCTAGTGCAGGGTAGATGTCTTCTCTCAAACTGTAATTCTAAATGACTAAATGTCTTGTACAGAAAGAAGCAAACTTTAGATAAGGAAATCGCATTGAAAACATTTACATCACATTTAGTAGGGATGATTAAAAAATGCCACATGCCACTCAATGCTTTGAATTAAATTTACGTGGCAAGAAAGAGAAATTGATAGCACAACATAATATTGGAGGACATAAATGGTTAAGAATGGAGTTACAAATTATAAATGAGGCATCAACAACAATTCCTTTAAAACTTCCAATAAAAACTTAAATGTCAACCTGACTGAGAAGCGCTCCAGCCAACGTACAATGGTTGCGATTCCTTCAAAATTTTCATTAAAAACTTAGATGTCAACCTGACTGAGAAGCGCTCGGCCAACATGATGTGCGCCTTCTAGTGTTATCATTCACTTCTAAGCAGTGAAAGTATCTTTGGCACTTGAGCGAGTAGCATGTCTAAAGGACTGACTCTAGACTGGATCTTATGGTCTGTCTGGTAAAAGAAAAATTCATGACCACATGGCATATTTACTTAAAGATGAAAATGCACAAATATGGCATCAATTGTTGGAATTCAATGAAAGTGATTTACAGAGACAATTCAATCCAATTCATCCAGGCTTTTCCAATGATAAGGTACAAACAAACGATCATTAAGGAATCAACACAGCAATGCATATCATTTGGAAACTGATAGAACATAAATGTCAGAAACTACAACAACAAGATAGAGCATATCATTTGGAGTTTGGAGCAATGCATCTGAGTAACACAGCAATCAGTTGCCGCATCTGTCCATGACATAAATCATTTAAAGATGTAGTGGCAGTGAAAGTTCAAAAGACATGTACAATACGGGATGGCAAAAGCTAACGTTCAACATAGTTCTCGAAAGATGCCGCCTGCAATCATGAATTTACATGCATTCAAACATGAAACAGGCGGCTACATACATCACTAATTATAAGAGCAACAAAGTATTCTTACTGCCTGGTGTTCAGAAATTGGTCTTTTTACCACCTCGAACAGCACTAAGACCTGATAAGAAGTTACGATCAATGATCTAGGCAACCGTAATTGTCTTGCTTCAAATCGTATTGGTGCGTGCTAACAACAACTCTGCTCAGCGTTGCAAAATTGTCCCCCAATCACCCTGGGCTCTCTGTTTTTTTTTTGTATTTTTAAATGAAAGATTTATAGGTTCGCTTAATGGGATATAATTTGCAGTTTAATTTCATTGTTGCAGTGAATACTCATACCAAACAATGTAAAGAAGCTTCAAATGAAATACTTAATCAAAAAGTTGAAGAAGCATATTTAGAAGAAGAAGAAGAAGAAGAAGAAGAAGCAATTCATCACACAGGAAGCGTAGATGGGAGAATCGGCAACCGCAGATACCTGTCTTATTGTTCAAAGCCGTTGGATCCACTCTACTCAGAAGATGGCCTTATCGTCTTCTCTTTCAACTCTTCTTCACATTCGTCATCCTCGTCGCGTAACCGATCGGTAAGCAGTTCTAATCACTGAAGAATTTGATCTACATCCTCAATGACATCAATGTAAGATCCACTTTCTAATCTGAAAAAAAAAACACATAGATGCCTCCACTCTCGATTTGCATCCTGGAAACCACCGAACTTATCACCTGGGTGTTAGAAGACGCTAGGTCGGCTAGGACGAGGTTTCAAACACAGCTCCATC